AATTTCAATGAATCAAGTATGGGGATCAAGTCAAACAAAATCATAGAAAAATAGTTTAGAAAAAGGATAGCGCAAAAAGCATGCATTTGAAGTAAATTGGAGAGAAACGATTTAATATCCTTAAGGGAATCAAAAAGAGATTCAGAAGCTTGAATAATGAAAATTTTATTTTACCTACTTTCTAAACGCTTTTCACTAAGATTGTTTCCATCCAAGAATTGTGAAATTACCTAACAGTACAAGCTTAATGAATAAGTGTAAAATATCAAATCGTTTCCTTGGAATGTTAACATATTCTTTTCTTCAGCCTCATTTCTGGTGATGGTTGGTAGGCATTTAATATTTTTGATGATCTTTTCTTCAAGGATATTCTCTTGAATTTATAACCTATGATGACACCTATAATTTTGTTTCTTGGATATTCAAAGCAGAATGTCTGAAAGTTTTGGTCAATACTGCTCTGGTTCCATTAACTTTGACCACCTTGGATTTCTAAGTGATCTTCTTTTCAGGAATTGAAACATGCTCTTCAGTCAGGATGTATTTCATATCGTTAAATTATTTTTTGAGAGAATATAAAATGTGAGATAATCTACATAATAAAGGTTATAATATTGGGTTAAACTTAAAGTTATAGAGAAGATTAATTTTTTTATTTTTTAACGTTATCCATTATGTTTATAAAATCCAATCTTGAGTAATTTGTTATTTTCATAATGAATGAATAAAATTGAACTAGTTGACTGATATTATCGTGGTGTAGATATTAATTAATTTTAAAAAAAATCTCTTTGAGGTAAGATTACATAGTTCTTATCTTAATGATTAATAACAGTTCCTTATATGCAAAATGATTATTGAAAGTAGCTCCTTTGGATGTAATTCATATAGAGCTTATTTTAGATTATTAGATGGTTGTTAGGCATGGGATAAAATTACCTCTAAATCCATTTAGGGGTTAGAATACTTATTTATGATTAATATATCTTTTCAGTCTTTTTAATCCCTAATACTTCTAATATTAATTGAAAATAATAAATAAATAACACAACAATACTACCAAGATTAGAGTAGAGTAATCTTAAAAATCATTCAATCCCAAAGTTATAACTTTGTTATCATTTAAGACTTTTTTAATTTTTGAAATATATCCTTCTTCTTATCTTTGTTATTTATTTTATCTTTACCTTTTATAAACTAAAGATCTAAATTTTACTAAACCATTAGTAATCATTACTAAACCTGTTTATAATCAGAAATCTGTTTATATTTTAAATTTAATTTAGTATTATCCAAAATTAAATCTTATAAATCTTAATTTAAAACAGTTTTGTATAACATCTACCATATATTTTAATAATATTAAATTAAAATGGTGTAATCACTTGCCAGAAATGGAATACTTTTGAAAAACATGTAATTAGCAAATTTAGAAAATGAAGATCAAGAATTGAAACAAAAGTCTAATGTTTTAAGAAAATTATTAAAATTATAATTGTAATGTTTGTAATGAATATTCAAATTCTCTTTTGCTTATGCTTTAAGTCTTCTAAAAAGCAACTTCCTTTGGATTTAAATAATGGTTTTATATCTTTCCCTTAATAATTAATAAATTGTCCTTATAAGATAAGTGTTCCTGATGCTTCTAACATAGGATTCTAACATATTCTAAGTATTGTACGATCAGGATTAACTAAATAATGATTATTATTTTAAAATACCATTTGGCAAGAAGGAGCTATTCTGAAGTGGTATGTTAAACTAAGCAAGCAAATCTTTATAGCTACTATCTGATTGTAGTATGTCCTTTGAAGTTTTTACATTCCATAAACGGATAGAGTTATCATCACTACCAGATGCTAATGTATTTCCATCAGGAGAGTAACTAATTGTTCTTACTATATTGGAATGACCCTCTAATATAGCTTTTTATGATCCTGTCTTAACATCCCATAAACGGATGGACTAATCTGAACTACCAGATGCTAATGTAGTACCATCAGGAGAGTAACAAATTGAATTAACTTCATTTGAATGACCATCTAATCTTGCTTTTTATATTCCTGTCTTAACATCCCATAAACGGATAGACTTATCTGCACTACCAGATGCTAATGTAGTACCATCAGGAGAGTAACAAATTTAATTAACTGCATATGAATGACCATCTAATTTGGCTTTTTATTATCCTGTCTTAACATCCCATAAACGGATAGACTTATCTGCACTACCAGATGCTAATGTAGTACCATCAGGAGAGTAACAAATTTAATTAACTGCATATGAATGACCATCTAATTTGGCTTTTTATTATCCTGTCTTAACATCCCATAAACGGATAGACTTATCTGCACTACCAGATGCTAATGTAGTACCATCAGGAGAGTAACAAATTTAATTAACTGCATATGAATGACCATCTAATTTGGCTTTTTATTATCCTGTCTTAACATCCCATAAACGGATAGACTTATCTGCACTACCAGATGCTAATGTAGTACCATCAGGAGAGTAACAAATTGAAT